TTAAAAATTTAACTGTATGGTACATTCTAACTACAGTTATAATGCACATCAGGCAAGTTATGAGAAGTGTCTGACAAAAGACATAATTTCAATTCCCATCTTTGGAACCCTAATTGTAAAGATTAGACTTGTTCCAAGCCTGTGAAAACTTGTATTCTTAGATGGCACATACCCATTTCCACACTACCAGGCCAATGCAATGAGCTATAAGTTTCAGGAAACTCATACTTGGAACAGTTTTAAAGAACCAGAGAGGTACTACCAAAAACACATTTCTGTCACAATATGCAAGATGGCATTTACTTTATGATTATGCCATGCGGCAACAGCACACAACTGTCTCAAAATATATCCATCCAGACAGCAAAGGAAAATATAGGAAGCTGACTTCTGTGGTTGATTAGCCTTTAAACAGGGTTTTCAGGCTCCAAATACAAGTGCACAAATCTCTGATTTGTTACTTCTGTGAGATTATGTTTAAGAGACCAATCTATAACTGACTTTTAAAAATCTCTCGCTTGATGTTAATGCAGATCATCAATCTAAACGGCTGAACAGATTTCTCAGATCAAGGAAAACAAAGATCTTGTCTGCCCTTTTCACTAAACACAGTGAAGGGAAAGAATCCTGCTGTCATATGATCAAAAGCAGAAGGATTTTCCTAGCAGTTAGAACTGCATCTCCTTCTGAGAGAGGACAGCGCAGAGTCAACATTTGTTACCATTCATCTCCAGACTGTCAAAAGCAGAGCTCTGACTGGATCATGTCTCATGGGAGCATTTCTGAAATCCTCTGCATCAGAATGCCAGACTGCCTTAATTTCATATACCAGTCTGAATCAGTCCTCAAGTTCACCTTCATATTTGACCTTTCAGCTCACTGTGGCAGACATCTTAGAAAAACACGAGACATTTAGTAGGACATTGAACCAGTTGTGCTGTACGAAGCAACAACATCTGAAAGAAAAGTCTGTGAGGGAATGAAAGCTGTATATGAAGGTTCTACCTCTCAAACTTAAAGATAGCTCAACACACAGTAAAACTACTTGCCGTTATATCAAAACGGAGTTTAGCTTCCATTTGTACAGAATTATGTGGCACATCCCTCATTCTGGACCCCAACTCACTTCCATCCCACACAAGCCTGTTGTTCTTTCATTGGTAATGCAAATACTGATATTATAAATGCTAAATCATGATTCTGAAATAATAGAAAATGTTATCTATACCACGTAATTTCTAGATTCCTTTCCTCTTATTTTTGTTGTGTTTCTATGGTTCTTTGACACAGACTTTAAATACCTGTGTTATACAATTGGGTTATAGTGGAGTGCAAGCCATGCACACAGTAATGTTTCATGTCAGTTACCATTTTTCCTTCACCTCCTAAAGAGATTAGGAATGTCAATGTGTGTCACAGACCAGAGCAAAGTATGTAAAAAGTAGGAAACCCCATTAGAAAGTGACAACAGGAAAAAACACACAAAAACAATCACTATTCTTACCAGCTGAATAAGTAGCCAAAACCAAAGTTGCATGGAAAGGGGAGAAAACATTTGAGAAATTAAGGATTTTGATCAATCAGCAAACTTAGGCAGATTTGGATGTTTTCTGTATACATTCTGGCCATTATTTAACACCACAGCCTTAATATAATATTCTTAGCATTTGAAAATTACAATGCATTGCTAAACAAACTGTCTAAAAAAACCTGATATTTCGTACTTTGCAGCTATTTCATTTCAGTCACAATAAAAAACTTGTATTCCCCATATCTTTACTATCTCACTGTGGTACTCCACTTAACTGTGACAAACTACAAAATAACAAGCTACCTTCTGCTATAAGAATGAATTAAGATGTTTGTGCATATTTGAGGTGTGAACGTACAACCAGAAGGGAGAGCTGAAGCAAACGGGGCACGGTAGAGGTTGAAAAGTAACGTGAGTGAAGCAAGCATAGATGGCACTGTAGACATGCATGCACAGGAGTGCAAAAGACCATGCAAGAATAAGTGTGCCTAGTGGGGAGATATTCTCGAGGGTAAATGTAAAAAAATATGGATTCTATTCCTCGCTCTGTCAGGCTTCCTGTGAGATCATGGGGAACTAATAATTTTCCCCTTCTGAAAAATGGTGATTATGATATTTTGTACTTTTCAGAGATCCCGTGAGATTTACTTCATGTAAAATGCTGTCAATGCCTCATGTTATAGATGCTATAGAAATGCTATGCTTTATTATTAAGCTTAGCAGCATAAGCATAAAGAAGCAAGGTTCAATCCATTTTGAACAGAGCTGGAAATGCAAGCCCAAGCACAATAAAACTCTAGCTAAATTATGTCCCCCAGGTCACCAATGGTTTAAAAGAGTCAAACACTCCCTTTAAATCCAGCGAAGGTCTCTGACAATATTTTGATGGTGGGAACTTGGGAGTATAGCTTTTGCAAAGCCAGCCAGCTGGCTCTCAACTTCATCCAAAACCTCCCTTAGCTAAAGGTTTTTGGTGTCCCGAGTCCTTTGGATAAATAGTTAATGCAGGATTGTGAATCCAGACTAACAGTGGTGGATGATCTGGCCTGCATCCATAAGCAGAAATGTGAGCCAGAAACAAATTTAGCTATAAAAAGGTAGTGAGAGAGAACACACATGACCGGAAGCATGACAATGGAAACCCATTTTGAAGACTGGGGTGAAGACACTGCGAAGATGGAAGAGTGAACAAATGTACCTATACAAATCCTAACAATGACAGTATGCTATGTGAAAGTTTGTTTAGATCACAGAGAAAATACTGGGACACCAGTTCTTTACATCATTCTAGTAGCACACCACTCACCTCCAGACATTAAAATGAGAGATGAAACAGAAAAGTAGTAAATCCCAGTGAATTACTTTTGTTACTAAAGAGGTTTACTCTCATCTTTGCTACGCTGGTGTCATTGAAAGTCTTCAGTACTCACCACGCCACTGGAAGACTTGGTCTTCAGCTCTAACTTGATCATTCCAAATCCTGAAACAGCAAAGTTCACAAGTTTCTATTACATTGCAATGTACAAGAATAGGATAGACACTTACTCCAGTATGAAACAGGTTGGGAGTGTTTGCTCGAAACAGCCCACCCTGTTACTAGGTGCTGATCTTCCTGGGAAAGTATTAAATGGTTTCTGATGACTCACCAAGGTAGGTGGCTCATTACCCATCAGGATGTAAGGGAGGCAGAAGCGTCTATTTTAGAGTACAACGAGGGTGTGGGCTGAGCAGTCCTGAATTAGACTAATACATTTTAAGACCAGAAGGGAACATTATGATCATCTGTCCGAACTGCTGCATACCACAGGTCAAATAATTTCATCTACTTGAGCTAGGGCATATGGATAGTAAAACATCCAATCTTTACTTGAGACTTAAAGTGATTACCCCTTGATAAATCGTTCCAATGGTTAATCATATTTACTGCTAGATATTTGTGCCTTATTTTTAATCTGAATTTGTCTAGCTTCAACGGATCTCATTAGACTTTTGTCTTCCAGACTGAAGATATTATCAGATATCTTTTCTCCATTTAGATACTTGTTGACTGGGATCAAACCATCTTCTACCCTTCTCTTTTAGAAGCTAAATAAACAGACATGTTTAAGTCTCTCACTGCAAGGCAGGTCTTCCAGCCCTCAAATAATCTGTGAAGCTCTTTTCTGAAAGCTGTCCCATTTGTCACCATCTTTTTTGTCACAGTCTCACCAATACCACATACACAGATAATACCATTTCCTTACTTCTGCTTGATATTCCTTTGTTTACACATCACAGAACAACATTTGCTCTCTCTTTAGGCTGAAAAATCTAGAAGCAGCTAAGACTAGAAAAAAAGCTTGATCTGAAATTTGTCAAAATATAGTTTGATCTTTGTTAACAAAAGACAAGTCTGAGAAACAAGGTGAGTTTTTGACTTTACAGTGTGTGAACTTCATTTTAGACCAGTTTGGGAAACGCACCCACTCACACATTGTTTAATAACAACGTTTCACAAAATAGAGGATTTTAGAATTCATGACATGTCACTGTACTGTCAATCTCAGGATTCCCATAACTGACCATAATTTAAACCAGTCACAGAAAATGAAAATATAGAGAGCTACCCCACGAGATGGGCTGTACCTCTGAAAGCAGACAGTTATTCAAATGAATTTATATGATATATACAGCAGATGGAGAAACGATCATCAATTAGGAAGAAATCCAGTTTCAAGTTCCAGGAAAACACAAATATATATATACAGAAAAAAAGCCACTTCTTTATCAGCTGTATAGTGCCAGTTTTATGCCACAAACAACGTAAATGCTGCATTAAGCCATTGTTTATGTAAATTACCAAGAACTGCAAACAAGAGAACAGTTCAAGCAGAGAGTTCCTCCCCGAGAGACTTTCTGGTTTCCTTTTAAAATAAAATATTTTCCAGTTTAAAGTGCTCTAAACTATTTGTACTGTGTCCAACATCACACATAATTTTGTCTCAAACAACATAGGAGCCCTCTATCTGAGGGGATCGTCTGTTGCCAATGGTCTGCTACGGCAACTTCCACGGTGGGGGTGGATCCAATTATACATATCCCTGTATAAAATAAAGAAGGTGAGAAGCACTCTATAAAAGGCTGAAGACACTGGAACACTTCTCACTATTCAAATTACATTTTGTGGCATCTCTCTGGGCAAGAGTCAAAACAGTTTCCTTTCTAGTTTGATACATATTTATGATGTGTTAATATGCTGAGTAAGTAGCATGAGATATTTTTTTCTCCTTCTTCGCTTGTACTTATTTGGCCACATTATTATCACAAAATATTATTTCACTAAATACATATGTAAATAATGTTATTACTTTTGTTAAGGCACCTAAGAAATGTAAGCTTATTAGCATCAACATATGATCATGCTGCTTACCATATCCTTTGTTGAATACATCCCTGGCAGACTTCCCCAGGTCACAGTAGGATGGTGGGACAGCCATTGGGTCTGAAAAGATTGGAAGTAGAGAGAACCCAGATTTTACAAGACAGAGCTGAAAAATCTTACTAAGCGGAGAGAGACCTTCCTTACTTCCACCTTGTTTTGTCAGAAAGAACAAAAGGTATTTTATCATATCAGAAATTTAACATAAGCCAATCTATTATTCAGAAACACTGTACCCCATGAATGGAATTAAACTCTAGCAATGTACTTGTCTTAGAATCTGCTAATATTGTATCAGAGAAAGAACCCAACAACGTATTGACTCCATTTCTGTTCCAATAATTGAATGCTGCTTTCATGATAGGAACCGTTCTGACACGGGCCCTAGGTGGTGAATAATCATAGACTCGCAGGACTGGAAGGGATCTCATGAGATCTTCTAGTCCAGTCCCCTGCACTGAAGGAAGGAATAAGTATTATCTAGACCATCCCTGACAGGTGTTTGTCTAACCTGCTCTTAAAAATCTCCAATTATGGAGATTCCACAACCTCCCCAGGCAATTTATTCCAGTGCTTAACTATCCTGGACAGTTAGGAAGTTTTTCCTAATATCCAATCTAACCCCACCTTGTTGCAATTTAAGCTCATTGATTCCTCAAGGTTAAAGAGTACAATTTTCCTCCCTCCTCCTTGTAACAACCTTTTGTGTATTTGAAAACTGTTATGTCCCCCTTCAGTCTTGTCTTCTCCAGACTAAACAAACCCAATTTTTTTAATCTTGCCTCCTAGGTCACGTTTTCTAAACCTTTAATTATTTTTGTTGCTCTTCTCTGGACTTTCTCCAATTTGTCCACATCTTTCCTAAAATGTGGCACCCAGAACTTCACACAATACTCCAGTTGAGGCCTAATCAGCGCTGAGTAGAGTGGAAGAATTACTTCTCGTGTCTTGCTTACAACACTCCTGCTAATATATCCCAGCATGATGTTTGCTTTTTTTGAAACAGTGTTACACTACTGACTCATATTTAGCTAGTGATCCACTATGACCCCAGATCCCTTTCTGCAGTACTCCCTCCTAGGCAGTCATTTCCCATTTTGTATGTGTGCAATTGATTGTTCCTTCTTAAGTAGAGTACTTCACATTTGTCCTTATTGAATTTCATGCTATTTATTTCAGACCATTTCTCCAGATCATTTTGAGTTTAAATCCTGTTCTCCAATTGTTGATGAATCAGCAAAATGAAAGCCCATGGAGTCCAATACTAACTAAAAGCCAATTTAGAACTATATAAGAATCCCTCCCCCCCCCCACATTATTTTCTTGATTCTTCCCCTCAGGTAGTCTTCCAGAGCTTTGGAAAATACAAAAAGGACATCTGTCTACAGTATGTGGATGTGACTGACACACCAATATTCACCACTGTTACGTAATTAGGATATGTTTTGTACAAAGTATACTTTGTGAGGCATCATTCTAAAAGTCTTGATCTGCTAGGTTATGTTACGTTCTTATGCTAGACATGAATATCTCGCTGGATTGTATGTGCTATCATCGTATGTGAAGTTATGAAGTTGGGCTACGTATGTGTTACTGAAACTCGTTGTGAGGCTGAAAACACCCACAAGCAGCCTTTCAGGTACAACAGTAAAAAGGCCAAACAATGCTAATGGCTTGTTGAGGAAATGCACACAAGCACGAGGATTACAATAGAAACCTCTCGAAGATAGCACTACACAATGGGAACTGTTTGACCCAGCTCACAGCAAAAGAGCTTTCCAGCAAGTGGGGAGAAGATATAAAAGGGATAAAATGACATCATGAGGGGACCTCATTCTCCCTACAACAACCCACCTGGAAACACCTGAGGAATAAAGACTGAACAAGGGGGGGGAGGGGGAAGAGGAGGAGGGAGCAACGGTCATAGGCTAAAAGGGATTTCTAGCCTGCGTACGAAAACCTGGGAAACCCAAGCTGCAAAGCCAAGGCAGTTTGTGCCTTAAGAATCTGACAGCCTGTTTATCAATCAGGGTGAGAATTTGTTAATTCACATACTATCTATCTGGTATGTTAAACTCAGTTTGCAGTTTTGTTTATTTACTAGGTAATCATATATAACCACTTAAAATGTATCCATTTGTAGTTAATAAACTTATTTTATATTTTAATCCAAACCAGTGTGTGTTGAACTAAGGCATCCAGGGAAACTATCAGCTTGGTTACCACAAGTGTGTATGGTCCTCTTTACATTGAGGGAGAGGCGGACTGGGTGTTAAACCCACATTCTGGCCAGATTTGACCAGGGCAGTATAGTACTGCTCTGGGGTCCTAGGCTGGTGGTTAGAAAGCCTGCATGTGACTGCGGCTGGGTGTGTCCCTATCTGTGTGAATACTTGTGAAAGTGCAAGCTTGGCAGGCTTTGCAACTTGTTACAGCAGCACAATGTGAAAGGGAGCCCAGGCTGGTGGATCAGAGGGCTCAGCAGTACCCCAGTTCCAGGTGGCGTTCCAGGACCTTGCCGAGTCTCCCTCTCCGATAATGCATTTACAAGAAAAAATGAGACTATGGTCTAACATAAATAACTGTTTGTGTCTCAACTTTAAACAGAAAAAAGCCAGAAACTGAAAATTATGAGTGGAGTGTTAATTTTAATGTTGGATGTCTCAATCCTTTTGATTGGTGTCACTACCTAAATATTATTAAATACCATTTTAAAATATATTCTGCTAGTGGCTTCACATTAAAGAAACATAGGTAGCTTCTATTCTAGAGTTTGTGTCTGAGAAATATGGATTTATAATGGCAAATCTTAAACATCCATCATGTTACTGTGGTAGCTTCTGTTCCAGAAAGGACTAACTAACCAACAGCTGAATGGCTCATTTGTTGCAGATCTTCTCTTGAACAGCTGCCACTAGAAATATCTCCAATTCTCCACTTGATAAATTATATTACACCAAAAGCACTGCTGATCCAAGAGAATAATAATAATAATGCAAACTAAGAGGTAAAAATCCTTAAAATCATCAATTCCCTTCAAATACTCACACCACTTACCTTTCCTTTGAACTACACAGCAGTGCTACTGTTTAGTCTCTTTCTTATTATTGTTGGGTTTCTCTTCCCCCACGCTCTTGCTGAAGAGCAAACTTGTGTTCTTCTGACCTTTGTGTGACAAGAAATCTATTCTTGCAGCAAGCAGTTTCTGACTTCACTCACAAAAAGACAAAACTAATCAAACGCAGACCTGCTTCATAAAGTTCACTGTCTGTCACATATCCTGGCTATAATGCAAGGATATCAACAAAGTATCTGAATTAATTCACAACTCTATCTTGTGGATGAATTACACAGAGCTGAGACAATTTACACTCTCTAATGAACCTCTTTATTTTTAATAGCTGGCCTTCTGATATATATATATATATACATACATACACACACACACACACACATATACCTGTGGGTCTAGAAGGTACAGAACAGCTGGACATGACTGCAGATTCCTTATACGAAGATTAGGTCATAAATTATGTACGTCTCAAATGTGAACTTATAAAAGGCCTTTATACCTGTCAAATATGGAAAAAAATTGATGCATCATTAAAGATGAAAGACAAGTTTTACTTATACTATTACAGCAGCATCTGCAACCTAGTCGTGGAGCAGGCTGCGTTTCTGATAGAAAACCTAATTTTTACCAAAGAACAACTGTTGAGGTGAGCCAGGAGCAAAGTATTCCACAATTTTTTAAAAAGTTGCTGTTATCTTTTAAAGTTTATTATTGTCAGAATTTTTTCATTCCATTGTTTTCAAAACAGCTCAATAACTTAAAATCATTACTAAGAATTAAAGCAAACAAAATAAAGAGAACACAGCCAACACCAGAAAAGTGTAAAAGCAGATATTGTGCTTATGCAGTAACTGTTTTTGAGGCTTAAAAAATGTATTAGGCACATATACAAGCAAAAGCCAATACCAAAGATGGTGCTCTGCACAAGCCCCATCAGATGCACAAGCAGCATCCTGGTGAGAAGCCTAGTAAATTAAACAGCTTCCACTATCCACACTAGGTAATTCACTCTCCCCCCTCCCACCCACTGACTTTTTGGGGGATATCAAAATCCACAGGACTCACAAATGCTTGCTTAAGGGAGAATTGTACCGTGCCATCCCTGAAGGAGGTGCTGACTATCACCACCAGTTATGGATCGAACACCTCAGCAGCAAAGGCAGATTGGTGTAAGTAAAGGATGATTTCAGCATCCCAACTACTCTACTGGGTAAATGGCCTAAATTTTTGCTTGGTCTGAGATACAATGACCATTTCAAGGCAAGATACTACATATATCATTTGAGAGAGGTAATTCTAGGGACCAATGGAAATCTGAGCATGTGACTTATTTCAGTTGTGAGTCACAAGATATCAGATTTTGGAAGTCACATTTGGATTACACTTTTACTCTTCCCCAATTCAACTTCTGAATGGACTTTAGCAGCTGTTCTCTAGGGAACTATTAGAGCTAGTACGAATCAGTGTTACCAGTGATTCATAAATGGTGGTCTGAAAAACTGCTTTTTTCACAAGAGCGATGCATTTGTCAGGCCTCTGGCAGAAGCATTTTCTGCTAGCCACGGGTGGGAGTTTCCACTTTCAAAGACTGTGATCGACTAAGTTCCCTAAGCGAAAGGGCTATATTTAGCTGGGAATGAATGTTCTTAAGGTTATCAAACAAAGATAACTAAGTACAAATGCGAAACACTTAAAATTATTTAAATCAAAGTTTTGTGATTGCTAATTTAAATCATGATTAAAATCAACGATCACTTTGATTTAAATTAATGCACCTTGCTACAAAGTGACTTAGGCCTTGATTACACTTAAAAGGGTTTGCCACTAGAGATATACAGGCGGAGACATAATGGTAAATTCTCCTAATGGAGAGACAGCTTATACCGGCAGTAGTTCCTTGGTGTGTATAGTTTCAACCAGTACCACAAATAGAATAAGCTATACCGACAAACGGACTTTTCTGCAGGTATAACTGCATCTACACTAGGGATTTTGCTGCCATAGCTATATGTTCATCAGGGATGTGATCTCTTCCCCCCACCTCACTTAACTGAAGTAGCTATATTGGTAAAACTTTCTAGCTTAGACCAGGCCTTCGAAAAGCTAGAGCAATATGTGCTGCAGACAACATGGGAAGATTTGATGCTGATAAAATGTAAACGGTTACACAAAGGGAGAGGAAATAAAGCAGCAGAGACACAAAATGGAAGGCCATAACTAAGCTGCAGTCACATTAAACAAGTTTATTTTCACATTCTTTTTTTCCACATCACTAACCACCTACAGTAGCCACAGAAGAAACGTGGTCTTGTTTTTAGAGACTGTAGTGATAGGTGATCAATGAAAACACTGTGGCACACAATAAGAACTCTGCTACTATCAACTGCAATATTGTAATGCTGCATTTCAATCAGTATGGAGGATTAATCTCTGAGTCATGAAAATACAGGCTTCTATTCATACTATAAGTAAGCATTTTCAGGGTGAGAGGTAAGCAAAAGAGTTATCAAAATGATCAAATTTTAGATTGACATTTCCTTTATTCCTGTATGTTTTCAGCACTTATCAAATTTAATGTAAAACATATATGGATTTCAGCTTCCCAAAAAATTTTAAAAAGTCAATATTTATATTTCCACTGCAATTCCCTCTCCCAGCAAAGTCCAAAAGGCAATGTGAATACCTGGCGGCTGTTGACATAAGAAATTCTTATTTCCACACTGAAGAGTACCTACATTTACCCGATAAAGTTTTGTAGTGAAATTATTAGACTTGTTGGAATTAAATCAAACATTTTCTCCATTAAACTTCATCAGACAGTTGTAGCAGCTCGGAAACAAAAAACAGCTTTGTGCGTGCAACCTGCAGCAGCTTAGGACTCAAAACACCTCTCAGACTTTGCTCAAAGAGGAAGAAATACCTTTTTTTTTTTTGGGGGGGGGGGGGGTTGTCAGTGTCAAATTAATAACATCCATCCAAAATACTGAAAAAGTAGTCATACTGCCTTTATTAAAGATATCAGTATTCTGCATCTTGCAAGGGCAGAAACACCCTTTGGGAAAGTAGCAGTAGTACTTTCAGAATGAATAAGGTTTTCTAGACACTGGTTTTGAATGAGCAATCAAAATGAACTAAAAATTCTTTCGGCGTCCCAGCAACGTGAATCCAGGGATGATCATCTACCAGTGGGAGGAGGAAGAGGGAGAAAAGTCATCTGCCTGCACTACAACACAGGCATATCTATTGAGTGTGTGATTGTAGTATCACATGCTAGACTGTGTCACTCAGCGTGCCAGGGTAGATAAAAAAATCAATTATTTTTACTTTTTTTAAAAATCAATTTTTTTGATAAAATGCTTTTTGAGGAGAAAAAGATAGTTTTAATTAAGATGCATTATAGCTCAATGATATCTCGAATATGGATTATAAATTCTAATTCTATAGTATGAGATGATACATTCATGTAATGTTGAAGAAAAAGTTTTGTAAATGAGTTCCAATAGTTCATGGATTAGGGACCCCATTTTATGGGGTTCTAGGGACTTCTGTATAGATTATTTAGGTTAATCTATCTACCCACCCAATGGGACCCAGTGCTCAGTCTAGAAGATACCATGAGAGATGCTTAGTTTTGCAGTTCTCAAACTGTCCATTTGGGTCTCCAGAGATAAAAACATTTTTGCTGTTAACAAGCATGTTAAGTAAGTAAGTAAGTAAATAAATAGAGGTGAGAAACAACAGACCTCAACCCTATTGTCCCTCTGCAAATTTGTGTACACAGAGTCAATCCCTTACCTCTCTCTAAAAGGGCAAAGTTTCAAAATGTTCAACGAATAGAAGATTGTTGGGGGCGGAATAGATCTGGACAAGGAGAAGTCATCTGGAGATAAATGTGAGAAGGGAGGGACAGGCAGTAGAAACAAAAGTGAAATTGTTGGAGCAGCATATTCCAGAAGTTTTGAGGTCTTCCTGAGTGTAGTCTTCACTGATTTGAGATCTACCATACCATTCTCTCACTAGAAGGGAAAACCTATAATGGCAGCAGTCTGTAAAAGAAACCCAGTTAGGGAATATTTTAATGAAGTTCCTCTACAAGTGGGTGAGACAGGCATGTGTGCAAAATGCAAACAGTGCAACAAAGAAATGCAAGGCCTTGTTGCCCGAATGAAACAACATCATGAGAAGTGTTCCTTCTCAGGACCAAGCTGTGTTGAAGATGATGAAAGGAACTTGTCTGAACATGCAGGATCTTCAGGTTGGTAAACTTTTTTATTTCATACTTCTTTCTTAAGGACTACCTGTCTTCCTTCTGGACTATTTTTGAATTCTCATGTTTGAGCAGAACATATAGTTGTTACTCTATAGTACTATCATTTTCGATGCATTTGTGATAAAAAAAAAAGCTGAAATAGGCAGATCTTCCTTTTACAATTTCACCTTTAAAGTACTACTGAGTGTCAGCGAATGCAATGAGTAATACTAAATGAGCAGTATGATAATAATAATTAAATAACTGCATTGACTTATTTTGTTTAGGAGAATCCATCCTCAACATACAGGATTTTGAAGACTATCCACCTTCAAGATAACTGTCATTTTCTATTAACTATAGTTTCAGAGTTAACTGCCAATGATAGTGTTTCAGTCACATCATGTATGTCACATAGCCACAGTATACCACCTGTAGCAAAAAGAAAAAAAACACTCCATCATCCAGAAGCAACCACAGATAAGTTTGTGATAAGAACCAGCAGATTACAAAAAGAGGTAATTGATGAAAAAATTGCCTGGTTTGTTTATGCAACAAACTCTCCTTTCCGTATGATTGAGAACCCACACTTCATTAACATGGTTCAGTCATTAAGACCAGGATACAGTCCACCCAACAGCGCAGATGTCGCAAGCAAATTGCTGGATAAAGGCTATGAAAGAGAAATTGAACAGTGTGCAAAATGTCTAGAGGGTAAAATTGTTAACCGGAATCTTGATGGGTGGAACAATCTCCACAATGATCCTGTTGTATGTGCTTGTGTGACAACAGACGAAGGGAACGTCTTCCTTACAGAAAGAACTGATACATCAGGAAATGCGCACACAGCAGAATACTTACAAGCAGCAGCAGTAAAAGCTATAACAAACTGTGAAAATAAATTAAAACGTCTAGTACGCAGCTTGGTCACAGACAATGCTGCAAATGTATCCAAGGTGAGAAGAAATCTAGGAGAGTGTGAAGAGAGTCCCAAGCTAACAATATGGTTGCAGTGCTCATTTGATGCACCTCCTAGCCAAAGACTTCAGTGTTCCAGAAATAAAGGCTAACGTTGTTGAAATTGCAAACTACTTCTGTAACAATCACTTTGCAGCAGCTGCTCTGAAAAGAGTGGGAGGAACCAAGCTAACTCTGCCACAAGACGAGCGACGGAACTCAGTAATGGACTGTTTTGAGCATTATATCAAGAACTGGCCTAATCTGATGACACTTTGTGAATAAAATCGTGA